GCGAGCGCAGCCACTTGGACCGTCGGTGGAGCTCCCTATGGGGCCACGAACCGTGTGAGGGGTCTGTGTCGGCGTCGGCGGCGTCGTCGTCGTCGAGGCGGGGGGGGGTAGAGGAGAGGAGGAAGAGCGGAGGAGGAACAGCTGGAGGAGGTTCAGTGTCCAGGGGGGTTGTTTTGGACCCGTGCTGGGCTGTTGCGGGCTTTACCAGCGGCGTTGGCCCGGGTACTTCTGCAACAAAAGTCGGCATGCCCGTTCGGGATTATCTGGGAGTCCGTGATAATAAAGATGGGCCGACTATCCTTTCTTCCAGTGCTGGGGCTTGCAGGGTTCAGATTCCACGCGGTGGGTCGATTCTCTGCGCGTCCGTGCATCTTCACGATGGGAGGGGCTGTCCTCACAGAACCTTTAAGCGCTGGCTAAAGTAGGCACCCTTGTGCAAGGCACGGGGCGCCCCACGCGCCCGATCTCGCGACCTCCCTCGGCGGCGACATTTCCAGATGCGAAAGGCACGTGCAATCCCACGGACGTGGAAGGGGGGGGTCAGGCTGAGAGACTATTCTGTCGTTTCCAGCGGCCTGAACGAGCGCATCCAGGAGACACCGGTTGCAATCCAGAGCCCTGTGTGACCTCACAAGCCTGTTCAGATCAAGTGCTTCCCGAGTTTGGTCGACTTGAAGTATATCGTTTTTGCTAAACCTCCGCCATTGACAGTCGACCTCCTCATCGGTCCATGGCCCAAGGGCCCCGATTAGGATGAGGTGCTGGATCGCGCCAACTTCGGGGTCTCGCACATTCATCAGAATGCTCCCAAAACGGTTGCCCAGAGAAACTTCAATCTTCTCTACCGTTTGTGGGCCAATGTTGCTGAAATTGAGTTGCAGAACAAGTGTCAGGCACGTCTTCCTCTAACAGGACCGAGAGGTCACCTGCCGAAGCAGATGTGGAAGTCGGCCTTGGCGCCCGATAAGCGCAGGGACGTCAAGCAGCCCACTGTTTATTCTCTGCGCTGGCTAGAGGGCACGTTTCGCATGCTCCCCCAGTTGGCGAAGTCCGCCAGCTAAAGCCAGGCCCGCGGCGTTCGCTCGTTCCTCGTCTCGCCGCCAGTCTGCATAGAGGAACAGTTCAGGGAGTTTCGCCCTCTTCACCTTCGTGTCTGTCGCTTGCTACGCAAGGAGGCGGAGCGCATTGGTTCTACCTTATGGGAATCCCTGGACCTCGAGCTCGGTTGTTCGATCCTGAACGACATGTCGGAAGCGCTGGGTAGCCATTCGAATCAAGCCCGTGCTGCTTCGTAGAAATATTGGAAGGCCTGGCTTCTAGACGGTATCCAGAATGGGGCTGGCAAGGAAAACATGTGGACGCGCTTGCCGTCGGCTTCGGCCTCTACTACTACGGTATCTGCTAGTGGAGTGGTGCTGGCAGACCCAAACTCTCTCCTGGCCAAGGAAGGACATCGTTTCGGGAAGGTTTGGGAAGTTGGGAGCCCCTTGGAGCCCGGCAAGTCTCAAGGGTATCTTCAGCCTCTGGAGCTCACCCCTCCCGAAGGTATTCGTGAAGTTTCCAAAACGTATGCTGAGAGGCAAGCAACCTCCATCGACGAGCTTTACATGCGTCACTTTGTAAACAATTCCGACCCTTATTTGCTCGCGTTCATGCCCGTGGCATGGATCATGAAAACGGCCCCCCTCGTCCCCAATAAGATCAAAACAAGTATTGTCCCTTTGCTGGCTTAGCCGCAAGGAAGATGGCGGCCCATAACACTGTTCGGCTGGACCTTTAGACTATGGGGAAGGATGAGGAGATGGCATGCCGAGCAGTGGGGGCAAAAACATATTGTAGATCGTACCTGGCTGCGGGCCATTTTGCAGAAGCAGCAGATGTTGTCTGGCACCAGTCCGTTCGCTGTGAAGAGGCGGTACGTCGACAAATGCGTTCCTTGAAAGCGAGAAAGCAACACAATACCATCGCCTGCAAGGTCTTGTGGGACCCCCAAAATTTCTACGACACGCTGTCATTGGAAAAGCTCGACAACAGATGCGATTACACTGGGCTTCCCCAAGGTTCCTAATGATGGGATGTATGGTCCACGGTCCTTTGTTCGCGAAGTTCGGGGCTATTGCAGGGCACTCTATGACCACTCCATACATTTGAATATACACCAACGCGACTATAGACATGCTCCGCATACCCGCGCCCCTCGACCTATACATAGACGATTACGGGCTCTCCTCCACAGGCTCCCCCAAGAAAGTTAAGCAGGGCAGCATTGAGAGTCTCGCCGCTCTGTATTTTGGTATCACTGTAAATCTGAAGAGCACCGTTGCGCAGGATAAGTCTTCTGTCATCTGCTCCTCGGCCAAGGTAGGTGAGGAGATTCGTGCTTCTCTAGATGACTCTGGAAGTAACAGCTCGAGCTGTCCACTCGTAACCCGGGGGTCGATGACACTGCAGGGACCAGTCGTCGTCGGGGAGGTCGAGCGAAGGTGTTCGAGAAAAGGAAGCAGCTGCTCTCAAGAGAGCGAAACGGTTCAAGAGATGTACAGTGGCCCTGGAGAGACACATCAAGAAAGTGTTCACGGGGGGGCCGCTGGCGGGCTTGCCATACGGTGCTGAAGTTCATAGGGGTTGGCGAGTATACGTCCCCGTGCTGGCATGCGCTCGCTACGTTCGGCACTGATCCTGGAGTCTGACCAGTCTTGGTGTGACTCTCTTGCACCAGTTGCCGGATACTCGAAGGCGATCGTCGCAGCGTGGGCGAGATCTTCAGACAAGCATCAACCTTTCAAGGTGTTGGGAACGGCTTGGGGATCAGCGCACAGCGTTCCAAGGGATCAGTTGTCCTGGAAAAATGTCACGGGGCCCATGTCTGTTTTGAGGCTATCGCTGCTCGGGATCGGTTGAGATGTGACTAGCTTCACGGTTCTGGACAACGATCTTCCAGCAGAAATCTCTCCGTCTGCTTCCTGATGCCTCTCCTGTTGGAGAGCGACGCAGCGAAGAGCTCGAACTTCCCAGATTGCGCCTGCTACGATGTCGTGTCGTCGCAGATTCGGTCCTTCAAGTTCGCGGGCTACGAGACAGGCTGCATCAAGTCTCTCACGTGCGGAGCCAGCCCTTTGGTCTAAGAGTCGAGCGATCCAGCTAGGCTATGAACTACCGATGGTCTATGCGATCTCTGCCGCAATGGCCGAGATAATGCGTGGCATCGTCTTTGGGATGCTGCTTCGGAGATCCGTTCTCAGAATGCGAAGATTGAGATAATCGAGGCCGCCGCTCTTAATGCTGACAGACATGATGATAAGGGAGTGGCAGTGTTCAGTAAAGGTTTATTCGAGCATCCAGGGGACGTCGTTCCGCGCCCCCGAAGCGATGGAGCAGGAGTCACGATCCACGGGCCAGGACATCCAGGACATCCAGGAGGTCAGGTATCAGGTGATGTGTTCATGGACGGCTCGTGCTCTAGGCATACCATTCGTGGGCTCCGTCGTGCGTCGTAGCTCTAGATCCAGATGCTCAGGTACAGGTGTCGGTGCAAGGACCCGTTTGGGGCCCAGTGCCTCAGACACCCCAGGCGGGAGAAATTCGGGGCCATGGCCATGACGGCCTGGAGCACCGCGGGGGCGACAAAGGGTTTCTCGGACTCTTCTACTGTTGTGTACATTGTAACTCCTGCCTGCACTGGCGGCTCTCCTAGAAACAGGATGCACTCGGGGACCATGATGCTTGCTGCCACTGCGGCACGGTTTCCTTGGCATCGTAAGATTAAAGATCATGGTACCGATGACCCGTCGCTGACTGCGCAGCAGCGATGCGAGAAAGCGGGGAACGATGCCGCAGATGCTGCAGTCACGCGTGGGCCTGAATCGCGTCCTGCCCCGACGGACGAAGATCTCAAAATAATTTCCAGGCAGACTACCAGATTCAAAGCAGTGTGTCAGTTGGCGGCCCGTGCCCTTCCCCTCTGGACCTGTTGGGGTGTCCCTTGGCCCGCCTGGCGCCCGTCCCGAGACCAGTCCGTGCGCTTGGCCGCTATCAGCAGGATTGGATGTGTAATGAGCCCTACTGGCGCTGCTCCCCTCCTCCATCCTCCATCCTCCATCCTCCATCCTCCTCCTCCTCCTCCTCCTCCGTCCTCCTCCTCCTCCTCCTCCTCCTCCTCCTCCTCCTCCTCCTCCCTCCTCCTCCTCCTCCTCCTCCTCCTCCTCCTCCTCCTCCTCCTCCTCCTCATCCGTCCTCATCCATCCTCCTCCTGCTCCTCCTCCGCCTCCTCCTCCTCCTCCTCCATCCTCCTCCTCCTGTCTCCGCATTAAGTTTCAGGAGGGATTCAAGTTCGACGGATCCCCGATGCCGTCCGAGCAAGGACGCAGTGGGAAAATGCCTGCGTCTTCAGAGGGAGCCAGCGCCGGGGGACATCGTCCCATCTCTTTCGCGTGATCAGATGATCCGCCGCTGTTCGCCTGTGTAGGTTGTAAAGCTGCTTCCACTCTCGGACCCTTGGCCCTCTTGGGCCAGCAAGGCGGGAACCCGACCCGCAGCAACGCTCAGGGGTGTAAGCATCGAGTTCTGCAAGGGAAGCACCCGAAGCTCGAAGGAGTTTCGATCGAGGTAGCCCCTGAATTAAGAGATTTACCCCCTCCCCTCACATCGAGGTGGAGAGGGAAAACGAAAGCTCGGCCTTACAAGGAGTCAGGGACAGTCTTCGAGAAGAGGGGTGCACCAGACGGCACGTACAAGCTGTCCGCGCCCGTTCGGGGTTCCCGTCCGAATCCGATTGAGTTTCTAGCCTGGGGTGCTTGGTCTCCTGTCTGGCGTCAGCCATAGTCAAAGGTCCTTTTCCGGTTGTCCCAAAGAGGTTGCCCGAAGAGGTGGATGTTATATCTGTATGTGTATATAGATATATCAATACGGATATTGAAGTACAACAAAATTCCCCTCCCCCTCCTCCGTATCATCGTTTCTCCTCGTTGTTCCTCCTCGTCCTCCTCCTACCCCCCATCGTCCTGAAACGCCCTTGAAGGAGTCGGCGCTCACGAAGCCACCGCACGACTCCGAATAGTAGGTCTGGCACCTGGCTAGACTCCTCCTCCTCTTCCTCCTCCTCCTCCTCCTCCTCCTGCTCCACCTCCTCCTCATCCTCCTCCTCCTCCTCCTCCTCCTCCTCCTCCCCCCTGTTATCGTCCTCATCGTCCTCCTCATCATCATCAGCAGCAGCAGCATCAGCATCAGCATCAGCATCATCATCATCATCATCAGCAGCAACATCATCATCATCGTCATCATCATCAGCACCGTCATCATCATCGTCGTCGTCATCGTCATCATCGTCGTCGGCAGCGTCGTCATCATCAGCAGCAGCAGCGGCATCATCATCATGAACCTCATCATCATCAGCATCGTCATCACCATCATCATAGCTGCAGCAGCATCGTCATCATCAGCATCATCATCATCGTCATCAGCAGCGTCATCATCATCTTGATCGTCATCATCAGCAGCAGCTGCAGCTGCGCCATCATCGTCATCATTAGCATCATCATCAACAACAACATCATCGTCATCATCATCACCTTCAGCAGCATCATCATAAGATTGAACATCGTCGTCAGCATCATAATCGCCATCATCAGCATCATCATCGTCATCATCTTCAGTATCAGCATCAGCATCATCAGCAGCATCGTCATCATACTCATAACCATGATCATAGCAAGAATAAGAAGATGAATAAGACTAAGCATAATCAGCATCAGCAGCATCAACAGCATCATAACTATTATCATCAGCAGCAACAGCCGCATCAATGTCAGCATCAGCATCAGCATCACAATTGCCATCAGCATCAGCATCATCAGCATCATCAGGATCAGTAGTAGTATTATCACAATCAGCAGCAACATCATCAGAATACCGTCCGAAGTGTCCTCACAACCTACTCTAAAATGCGGATGCCGCTGAAGACGTCCTCAAACTCAATCGGGCAGTTTTCGCCTGACAAAGATTCGGCGGCTGTGGCTGGAGACTTCCTCACAACTCAGTTCGGCAGTACCCACCCATGCTTTGTTTTTTGCAAAGGACTCCAATCGACACTCGGGCTCCAACCCCTCTTTGGTAGCATACAGACGACAGACGGTGTAGGCTGCGGCTACCGCTGTATGCATTACCAGAACTTGCTCTGGAGTGCGACTTACGCTCGAGGCCTCGTCACAGTTGAGTCGGGCCCAAACCACCTTGCTTATCTTTAGACTATACGCTGGTTGCCGCGCGGATAAACACTCCTCTGAGGGAGAACCTACGGGGGGCCGCTACATCACGAGGCTTACTCACACATTGCCCAGGAATGGGCCCCTCGAGGTGCGGGTTACTGCTGGAGACTCACTCACAACTGGATTCACGTGTTTCCCAGATTGCACCTCCTGCTTTCCCTGGCTATCCTTCTTCTCCTTGTTGCCATGTCCTGGATGCGCATCTCTCACCTTCGCCAGCGTCCGCCGCCTCCCAACGAGGACAAGATGCCATCTCCTGCGGCCCTGGAAGGCGAGGCTCTGCCTCGAGCCTCCCACCTGACTTCTCCTCGCCCCCCGCCTCCGGGGGGCCCCGACCCACGGGCTGCGAGCGCCCGCTCTTCTCGTCGGGGTCGAACGCGTAGCATCCGCACGTGGAGTTGACCTCGCAGTCGTACCTGCGACGGCCGGCTTGGCGACACCCCCGGGCGGGGGGGGACAGAGGGAGCGGGCCTCCCCGGAGGGCTCGGGAGGCCTCCGACCCTCTGTGAGGCCCTCCGAGCTCTCTCCGAGGGCCCACGGGCGGCTTCGCACGGGGCCGGCGGGCTTCTGGGAAGCCCCGCCGCCGTCTCTGAGGCTGCGCTACTCAGGCTCCTGAGGGGCCTTCGAGCACCCTCTCACGGGCAACGCTGACCGCAGCTGAAGGGCCATCGAGCCCGTGGAAGCCTGGCGGCATCAAAGTCGAGAAGGCGAGGGAGGGTCAGACCGTACCCCGACGCTTCGGCTGAGAGGCCATCCACGGCCCATCTGGCGTTTCTGACTCGGGGGACGCCACCTGTCCACCTCGTCAGCCCTGATGGGACAGGACATGACCGGTGAGGCGGGTGGTCGACGTCCCCCGAGAGGTTGCCGTTGCGTCTATGCGTAGTGTGTGCCTCTCGCTGTAAGGCGGTTTTGCTGCGGTCGCAAGCTCCTACGGACGGGGGGGGCAGCATGCCAAGAGGAGCACAGGCAGCAGGGGGGTCAAGGCTGGCTGGGGAACCGCAGTTGATTCATGAAACGATTTGCGTTTCGCATTGCTTCCTTGCTGCCATACGCGGTTTCACGTAGCCCTGGTTCCGATCCGATCGCGACGCGACTTCTATGACCGCCTCGTGACACGCGTACCCTTGTGGAGCAATAGATGGGCCAACTCCTATGACATTGTCAAGCTGTTCTACGCCGTTTACTCTGTGCCTGTGTGCATTCCCATTCGCTCACACGAACATGATTCGCATCCGTCTTGAACCACATTCAAGTCGAGTGCGCTCTGAATCGCAATCATGTGTAAATAAAACGTGTGCGTCCGCTACAACTTGTACACCTATTCCTGTACACCCCACGCATGCCTAAATATTGCACACCACGCTCATCACACGACATCACACACGATATCACACAACAGACGCAGGCCTGAACGACTGCAAGGGTCAGCGCAAGCGAGGGCATCTGTCTGTCAGTGCAGACTCTGGAAATGATTTCGCCAAACACCAATACGAAGAAAACTGCAGCGTGGCAAAAACAAATACAAGCCGAGCTAAGCCACACCTGTATAAAGCCAAAGCCAACGCCTACGGAAATCTCTGAGCCAAATACGACGTTTCATCCTCCTCGCCGTCCCCGGCTCCTCCCGCTCCTTTGTTTTGCTTCTCCCCCTCATCCCCCTCCTCTCGGGCTGCTTACTGCCTGGTATGGTCGCGCAAGAGCGACAGCATACGCGTGCAGCCCAAAGACGCCCTGCCTCCTCCTCCTCCTCTTCCTCCTCCCCCTCCTCCCCCTCCTCATCCTCACTCTCCTGCTCATCCTCCTCTTCCTCGTCCTCCTCCTCCTCCTCCTCCTCCACATGGCCGGCGCGCTGAAACAGACCACCGGGAGGATCATTTCTTTGGAGGCTCCCACCTTCTCGCGTGCCTCGACGGAAGGCCGCGGGAGGCGTCGGTGCCTTCGAGATCTCGCGCCCGCTCCCCGGTGAAGAGCAGCGGTCACGGCGAGGCGGGCCGAGGAGGCCGAAAGCAGGCCGTGGCCACTCCTACAAGCAAGTCGAGCGGGACAGCTGGCTGGCTGCACGCTGTGTTGTGCAGCCCTGGGAGGTCACGGTCGTGCTGAGAAGTCCGCGGGCACGACTGCTGCGCGCCAAAAAAAAAAAGAGATAACGACAAATTTGTCATCCTCAGCCTGCTGGCCTGCCTCTGTGCCGCTCGCCTACCCAACACAGACTGCTTCCATGCCAATCCACCAGGCACCCGTAGGCCATTTTTGGTGGGCTTCGTCCCACATCATTCACTCGGACACAACACGCACGCAGAGCAGGGCATGCTGTTTTCCCAAGAACGCCGTAGGCCGCCGATGTAACCGATGCAAGTGAACTCCTCTGGAGGAAGATCGATCGCTATGATTGCTCTCGCGTTGTCTGATGTTCCCTCTCTCTCTCTTACTACCGCATGGTCTCCATCTGTCACTGTTTCTCCCCGCTCTCTCTCTCGCCGCTCTCTCTCTCTCTCTCTCTCTTTCTCTATTTCTCGTCTCCCTCTCTCTCTCTCTTCCTCTCTCTCTCTCTCTCTCGCTCTCCCTCTCTCTCTCTCTCTCTCTTTCTCTCGCTATCTCTCTCTCTCTCTCTCGTCTTTCTCTCTCTCTCTCTCTCTTTCTCTCTTTCTCTCTCTATCTCTCTCTCTCTCTTTCTATCTCTCTCTCTCTCTCTCTGGACTAGGCCTTCTGGTCTACAAATCTGATGCGTCCAACAGGATATGCAACTTGGGGTGCCCGTGATCTGTCTCACAAAAGGCACAAACAAACTTCTGCTGGAGCACGCCACTCTCCAGCAAGCGCGTTCTGGCATCTACTCTGTCAGCGTACGTCGCCCTCCAAGCTGACGCACACCGTGCATGAACTTGCCGCGAGCCCATCAGTACAGGCTGCGCCTGAGCAGACCGCCGACATGAGTGCGAATGGCACTACGCAATGTACTGCCAACTGTGACCCACTGCCCGTCCCAGTCGCGCTCCGCCACAGCACGGGCTGCCGTTCCAGCAGCTGCACCCACGGCGGGATTCTGCTGAGCCGGGGAGTCAAACTCGCCTGCCTGCAGCCCCGCAATGCTTGCAAGCCCAGGTGGACTGCCAACCTTGCGCTGTCCCATCGCGATCCTCTGGATGCCCTTCAGGTCGTCGAGCACCACCAACTGAATGGCCAACGGCATCGCAAGGCGCCGGGCAAGCAGGGAAGGTGCACAAATACAACGGGAAGCGATGGACGCTTGAACCAACATGTCTCGGCAATAGGTAGTATGGTAAGAATGACACGTGTGTCGCAAAAGCTGATGGTGCTTTGGTGATGCTGATGATTCCTTGTGAGCGTTGCAGGCCGCAACCGTGTGCCCAGACATCGGCCGATTCCTGCGCTACTTGCGCGGACTTCGAGACCGCACTACGGCTGCAATTTCAGTCTGTCCGAACAAGGCAAGGGTTGGTGGCGAGCGAGGGGGGGAGTGAGAAGGAGAAGCTCTTCTCAGAAGACTCGGAAGCCCCCCAGCCTTCTGAGAAGTCTTCTAAGCCCTCCCCGAAGACAAGCAACAACTTCTCAGAAGGCGCGAGGGCTTCTGAGAAGTCCCGCCGCCTTCTGAGAAGGCCTTCTCCTTCTCATTTCCCCCCCTCGCTCGCCGCCGAAAGGAGGAAGCGACAACCAAAGGCGGGCAGAGCAGGATGGCCTTCCACGAGAGCCGCCAGCACTTTGCGCCTCGCGATCGACTCGGCAGAGCTGCACGCCAGACGGCGCGCCGAGCGATGGCGGGCAGTCGCTCCGTCCGTATAAGCGCACGGAGCGAGCACGGAGGCAGGGCGGATACGAATTGCATCATTGAACGAAGGCTTGGGATGCCTGCGAGAGCCGCAGTGGCCTTCGACGTAGTGGGGAGGTGTCGACGAGAATCTGTGAAGAACTATACAGTCAACCCGCATAGTAAGGATAAGCGATAAGGATGCAAGGGCCTTGGACGCCCATTTCGAAGCTTTTCCAGCGGGGCGCGGCCAACGAAAGTGGCGAAGGATGGACCGAGGAGGCAAGGTTGCAAGGGTACCCTTGGGAAGGTTGCCCATCCTTACTGTTCGGGTTGACTGTATGGGCAAGAACTGCCATCCCGCTTGCCCGGAAAATTATGTGCCCTACTCTGCAGCGGGGAGAGGGCTAGAGAGAAGGACGCAATCCAGGAGACGAGGCCGAGCCTGCTGGAGGAGGCCACTGCTGCAAATATCGTCCGTGCCCTCACTCGTGCTTGTTGAAGTATTTCCCCTCAAGCTCCGCCGGGTCCTTGTAGGTGCCGAGAACCTTGTCCCAGTATGCGAAAGTGTGGCCGAAGTTGTACACGAACAGCTTATGGTGAACATGGTGGTCGCCAGCCGTTCCGAATCCGATTCGCTTGAAGAGGCAGTCCCACGGGTGGTGGAACTCGGAGTGGATGAGAACAAGCCAATTCGCGTACAGCGAGCCGAAGGTCATGTATGACCAGACGTTTGCTGGCACAAGACGTGCTACTGCAACAAAGGGCACGATGATCATCAACAATGTGTCTGTCAGCGATCCGTTGAAGGCGTCAAACATTCGGGGGTTGACGAACCGGTGGTGTGGCTTGTGCGAGTTGCGGTACACCCAGCTCGACACCTTGTGCTCTCCCAGGTGCATGATCGCCTGCAGGAAATCCTGCAGCAGCAACTGCGCGGCCACGTGCCACCAGCAGATGCCACCGGCGAAAGAATAGTACGACTGCGGCATCCACCCGAGCATCCAGGAGCCCACCAAGTACCCGCCTATGAGCGCGAACCCCTCTGGCTGTGCAAAGTGCGTGACCATACCCTCGACGAAGCTGTACTCTCTCACCTCCTGCTGTATCCGTCGCTTCGCGCCGAGCAGCCCCGCGCACCGCAGGGCGTGGTAGGCCACCGTGAAGACCTGGCCCACGGCGACCGCCAGGATGCCGAGGGTGAGGCCCAACGGCTTGATGGAGCGCGGGTCCGCCACGCCGTAGCCCGTGAGCTCTGGCTTCACCGGCTCCTCGTCGTACCAGGCTCGCGGGAAGACGGCCCTGTAGCTGTCGTGCCCGGGGCCGAGCGTCAGCGCCAGCGGCACCGCGCAGACGATGGAGCACAAAGCACTGCACGAGCAGAAACTGTTAGAGGAAACAGAATTATGCACATACACCGATTCTGGCCAGGCCCACCCTGAGCCCAGGCTCGGTGCGTACGCCCTCCTACCTTGGCTATGAAGGTATATGCACCGATCCTGGGTCAAGAATGGGCCTTGCCAGGATCGGTGCATGTGCATAGTTCCCTTCGCCCGAACTATCAGAGCTCCGTGCGGATTCCTCCGGCCGGCGCTGAGCCCCACTCCATCACCTTCCCCTGGCGTGCGAGGCGCGCCACGGGGGGGGGCACGGGAGGGTCCGGGTGCCAAGAGGGGGGGGGAATCCGGCGCCGACCCGAGAGATCCGCGCGACCTCCGAAGAAGTCTGTGCCCGCGCAGCTGCTCGGTCCTCCTGATGAGCGGCCAGACTAGGCACGACAGGAGTGCCGCCAGGAAGCTGCCCGCAGGCTTCGCCTCGGCCGGGGCCTCGCCCTGCTTTGCCGCCCCCGCGGGCGGTGTGGCAGCCCGGCCTGGTGCGACCTTCCTGTCGTGGCCGGCCTCGCCAGCGGAGGCCTCCGCCAGGATCGCCATGGCACCCTGCCTCCCGCGCGGGTGCAGAGACCAGGCGCGCCGCGGGGCGGGCACAGTGCCTGGGCCCAAAAGACTATCGACTTGGGCAATGATGATGCGTGGCCCTGCTCATCATGATGATCACGACGATGAAAGAACAATACTGATGAGCGTGCGATGCTGGTTATGGCAAATATCCCTGGCCGTCGCCGTAACGATGAGAGCAACCACCATGCATCAACCCAATGCTCGATGTCTGAGGCTGAATACCACGGGCAATGGAAATAGCAAGTCCGAGAATCCAACGAGTGTGATTATGATGCGAGAAAGCCAAGCTGGTGAGAGCCTCACCCGCTGGTGTCATGCGACGGCTCCTGGCTCTGACCTTGGTCATGTCGACGGTGGCGACGACGGCAACAATCGCATGCGATTGCCCTGAGGGGGTAACGTCGTAAACCAGCGTAGCCAGCTCAGGCCAAGGTCGCAAACGACTCGGACGATACCCTGCCAGAAAGACTTTGAATCGGAAGCTTGGGGTGGAGATCGAAATAAAGTGGAGAGCCCCCCACCGGGAAACCGTTTTCGGTTTCTGCTGAAGTTGCGCGTGCGTGCGAGGCAAAGCTGCGAGAGGGCCAGGTCCCGCACTAGTGGAAGACACACCAGGTCAGGTTGCTTTCCCCTGGCCCAGCGCGGGCGTGCTGGGGTTGTCACACGGTACTGTGGCTGTCCCGTGCGATTATCCCGCGGGGCGCGTGTCTCAGGGTTGCCCCGTGGTTGTCATGCAACGCGTGACTCCCAGGATTGTCCCGTGGTTGTCTGGGTAGGTAGCGAGATAGCGAGATAGTTCGAAGGGCGCGAAGAAGTAGAAGATGTTGGAGGGCCTGAGGGGCTAGAAGGAGTAGAAGAGTTAGGAAGGCGTACGAATAATCCGACAACGCCCCGAAGCGGTTCCCAGAACGCGTTACGATTACCTGTCACAGCCATCAATGAGCCTTGCCCCAAGACTCCCCCAGACATAGACGCGGAGACCGCCTACCCACATTTGCAAGGGTCAGACCGCGCGCGACATGATCGGCCCTAGCCATGCCCATTGATCTCTATTTTCCCAGAGCCCCGGATCCTGCTCCAGAAACGGGCGACGAACTTGCCATCGCGTCTTCAAGATAACAAAACCTGCCGACATAGACCGCCAGGCTCCGAAGGCCCCAAAAGAGCTGGGCAAGGTCCCAAGAGAATCGAGATACGACACAAAGTATTCAGGCCCCAATGCTCCGAATGACTTCCGCGATCGTGCATTGCTCTTTCTTTTTGGGGGTGGGCGGAGTGGCGAAAATTATGGGGGCAGTGAAGTTACAAGCCAAAACAACTTAAACGTTGGGAGAGCGCGAACAACTTAAAAGACCAAATACTGTAGGACTTGTACGGGTTAGACATAGCGTTTAGTACAGTCAAAAGAGGTAGACGACAAAGAAGAGCCCGCATGGTTGTTGGCGAGAGAGAAGAGCATAACACGTCAAACAGATAGACTAGTTTGAAGGGCTGCGAGATCTACAAGCGCTACAAGCACCTAGTGTAATCATAAAAGTTGCACGGGTTCAGAAAACTGGGCGGCATGGGTGTAGCACTATTAGATACAGCAGAGGCACAGCAGCTCTTTGAGCTAGAACAGATAAACCAGATTGATAAATTGGAAGACGGGTTTGGAACAGCTCCGCCGCCGGGCCGCCGTCATGTGGGCCCTGAGCCGACTGTCTTTAGGTTCCTTCGAGCCACAATATCTGGTCACTTCGACAACTCACCAACGGCCCCAGAGCCCAGATTCTGGCGTTCCCGGGCACTCCCGGGCCCGCTCCCGCGACGTGCCCCGCGACCCGCTCCGCGACCACGACCCGTCGAGACAGACGCCTAGACCTTCCCCTGCCGCTGCGGGGCCCACGGCACCCGAAAGCTGGGGGAGCCGAGCCGCCCCCTGGGCCGATGCCAGGGAGCCACCGCTGCCCCAGCCCAGGGCGGGAGAGGAGCACAGAGGCCTCTCAAGTGGGGCCAGAACTGACGGGGCCAGAAGGTCGAACCGCACCGCCGATGCATCGGCGATGCATCGGCGTCTGGATGGAGAAGACCGGGCCCCCAATCGCGCCGCATCGCCGAAGCATCGGCGAGACAGCGAAGATCCTCCGACCCCATCTCACTGCACCGACCTTGCAAACGTGCTGCAGCGGAGTTTTGCGCGGATCTCTGTCAATGCAAGACCCCGAAACGGCGAGCGGAAAAAAAGTGAATTGCACGTGGATGTTTCAATCATTCTTGACCAAAATGAAAGTCGCACGAAATTAACTTCGAAATGCGTAACGAAATTATCCAGGACACTCTGGGCCCATCTTATTGTTCCCCACATCATAAGTGGGGTCATTGTTTTCTCTGGGCACCCCCGCGAAGGAACAGGAACATCCCACATCATCATCGCCACCATCATCACCATCACCATCATCGCCCTCATCATACACATATCATCATCAGCATCGCGGTCATCATCGTCAACATTCAACATCATCGTCATATTCGTCCCCATCACTCGCCATCACCGTCATCAGTCCGCCATCACTCACCAGCACTTACCGTCATCACCATCACCATCATCATCATCACACAATCATCACAAACACACACACACACAAAAGCACACATTCATCATCAACATCATCCGTATTACCACCATCATCACCATCATCCTAATCACCACCATCGTCATCACCCACCACACCCGAACATCATCACGAATATTTAGGGAGTCTCAAATGGGAGACCCGTCTGCGATTAGGCTGTGAGGAAATCTCAGGCGGGAACTACCTCCCTATGGGGTTCGCATCACATGTTGGAAATCCGAACGGGCCATCCAAACCCTGTAACTATCGTCACTTTGGGGCCCCTGGGGCTCGAAAGTGGAGGAAGTTTCAAGCGGGAGCCTCGTCTGTGGGTGACTTGCGAAGAAGTCTCAGGCGGGAACCGTTCTCTACGGGGCCCGCACCTCACGTTCGAATCCGAACGGGTCATCCAAACCCTGTAACTGTCGTCACGATGGGGCCCCTGAAGCTTGAATATGATAGCATGGAAGTCTGAAGCTAAAGCCTTGTCTGTGAAGAAATTGCCAAGAAGTCTCAGGCGGGAGCCCCGCCTCTATGCGGCCCGCACCTCATGTTCGAATCCGAGCGGGTCATCCAAACCCTGTAGCTGTCATCACGGTTGCGCCCCTGCTGCTTGAATATGTAGGAAATTTCAACCGGGAGTCTCGTCTGTGACTGATTTGTGAGGAAGTCTCAGGCGGGAGCCCCGTCTCTGCGGGGCCCGCACCTCATGTTCGAATCCGAGCGAATCATCCAAACCCTCTAATTTATCGTCATTGTCGGGCCCTTGAGGCTTATCGAAGTCTCAAGCAAAAGCCTTGTCTGTGAGGGAATTGTGAGAAACTCTCAAGCGGGAGCCCCGTCTCTATGGGCCCGCACCTCATGTTCGGATCCGAGCAGGCCATCCAAACCCTGTAGCTGTCGTCACGTTTGCGCCCCTGCGGGCTGAATATGGAAGAAGTTTCAACCGGGAGCCTCGTCTGTGAGCGACTAGGGCCCGCACCTCACGTTCGAATCCGAGCGGGTCATCCAAACCTTGTAACTGTCAGCACTATTGGGCCATTGAGGTTTCAATCTTGAGGAAGTCTCAAGCGGGAGCCTCGTCGATGAGCAAAGTGTCTGGAAATCTCAAGCGGGAGCCCCTTCCTGCCCGCACTTCATGTTCGAATCCGAGGCAGATCAACCGAAACTCGTAACTGTCGTTACTTTTGGGCCCCTCAGGCCCAAACCTTAAAGTGGCAGTCTCGTCGTGGCGGGAGCCTCGTCGTGAGTGAGGCGGGAGCCGCGTCTGTGGGGCCCGCAGTTCCATGTTCGAATCCGAGCGCGTCTCCGGGTTCTCGTAGCTGTCGTCACTGTCGGGCTCCTCAAGAAGGGGGAGAAATATGAAGAGGGGAGGAAGGAGGAGGAGGAGGAGGAGGAGGAGGAGAAGGAGGAGGAGAAGGAGGAGGAGGAGGAGGAGGGGGAAGAGGAGGCTAAAAACTGAAAGGGTCTAGGACGAAAAGGGGGCGATGACGATGATGATGGGGAGGAGAGGAGGAGGACGCAGAAGCGGAAGGAGGGCCTCCGCCAGTCGAAAAGGAAAAAAGCGAGGGGCAATCTAAACAGATTATCATGCGGGGTCCCTCCGTCGGAATAATTTTCCGCGCCAAATCCGTTCTGCGATGTTGGTGCCATGACCCATCTGCTCCGGCCCAATCTAAGAAGCCTGCAAGAGGAGCAGGCAAGATCAAGCACCGAATGAGGAAATCCGATCGACTTGGAATGTGCGGCGCACCGGGTTGCATCGGCACGGGCTCGAAATCGAACAGTATCGGCCACACCAGGATGCCCAATAGCGCCATACAAGCATCGGGCTGCATCCGATCGTCGGGACATCGGAATTGAATCGGATGAGGCCAGCCGGAATCGATGTCGAATCCAATCGACATGAAACCCAACTGGAGCGGGCGAAGGGAATCGGAGTTCAGAGATCATGCTTGTTTTACGTGTTTAGGCATTTGGGGGATCTACGAAAAGGCCCCTGGGGACCTATGGAAGTATCTGGGAACCTCCTGAGATTTCTAGAGGCCGCCCCCAAAAAAACACCCAGAACATCCAGAGGAGGATGAGGAGGGGGAGGAGGAAGAGGTAGGAGGGAGGAGAGGGGAGTGAGAGAGAAGGATGGAGGGGGGAGGGGGGCGGAGGAAGGGAGGGAGGGAGGGAGGGAGGGAGGGAGGAGAAGCAGGAGGAGGGGAGAGAAGGAGGAGGAGAGAGGAGGAGGAAGAAAGAGGGCAGGAGGGGAGGACAGGAGGATAGGAGGAGAGGAAGAGGACGAGGAGGAGGAGGAGGAGGAGGAGGAGGAGGAGGAGCGAACGTCGCCGCGAGGGGACGTCCAGCCAAACTAGGCAGCGCGTGGCCCAGCACCGCCCGAGAGGTCTGGCGCTCGCAGCACGGCGTGCCGAGCGGCGGCGGTGCCGTCGCAGCTCTGCGCGCAGGTCACCAGGTTCCCCCCTACATCCTTCGGCACCTCCTCCTCCCTCTCCTCCTCCTCCTCCTCCTCCTCCTCCTCCTCCTCCTCCTCCTCCTCCTTCTCCTCCTCCTCCTCCTCCTCCTCCTCCATATGTGGGAGGTGGACCCTGTGCTCTCGGATCGATGGCCTACGGTCACGGTCTTTCTCTTCAGGTGTGCGGCGTCCTTCGCCACGTGGTGCAATCGGCACTCCAAGGCCATGCGCGCCACCGAATTCTCTATGCCGTTTTCGCCCCTTGTGCGCCCGCTCGTCGCCGAAGCCCGTGCGCGTGAGCAGTGACGGGTCCAGGCGCCCGCGTGAAGGGCAACGAACTGCAACATCGTCGGCCAGATCAGGTAGTGCTGGATGCAGTCGGGCACGTCGCATCCGAAGTGGAACCTGCGCTGCACCGCCAGCACGGGCATGCGGTGGGACGTGGTCCACCCGCCGACGAAGGTCTTCAGCGAGACCCAGAGGCTCGCAAGAGGGAGCGTCGCCGGGTGGGCGCGCAAACGCGACCACTCCAGGTCGTCGGGAACGGCGACTGCGCTCGGCAGATCCACGGGCTCCGAATCCATGTCACCGTCGGGCCCTCGGGCTCCTTCGGGCTGTCGGGCAGGAGCGCCTGGTGGCTCTCGACCCAGTAACGCCTGGCGCAATGTTCCGCAGCGCACTCGGCACGAAGGGCAGCCTGCTTGCGAGCGCCGCCGGCGTCCGAGCCCCTGCTGCCCAGCAGCCGCAGCCACAGCAGGCACCGACCGAACGAGCCGTCCTGCCAGGCCTGGCGGCACATGTCGCGCGCGATGCGGCGCCGCTGCACGTCGGAGCTGTACAGCGCCTGGAGGTCGTCGCGCAGCAGCACCCCGTACAGGTACTCGACGCACCAGTCCATACAGTCCTGTTCGTTTTTGGTGCCGCGGGCCTTCAGCAGCACGTTTGGGATCCACCTAGCAGCCAATGCACCAGCGCGGCGTTGGAGGCAATATTTTACTTCGTCTGCCAGGTCTCGCGCAGGGTCGTGAGGTCGTCGAGTGAACTGTCCGCCAAGCTGAAGGTACCACGCCAGGAGGCGACGACGGATGGTCTGCGCCATAGTGTCGGTGTAGAGGCGCTCCTGGAGTTTGAGCAGGTGGGCCTTCTCGGTGTGCGGAGCGACTTGTAATGCCCAGTGTTGCTGCTGAGACGGGCGCGCAAATCTGCACGCAGAACGTTCCGGGAAGTGGCCAATGACCAACTTCGAGCATGTGATGCAAGTGTTTCAATTGGCACAACTTTCACAATGCAAAACCAAATCCAAGCAAAATTCTGTCCGACCTCTTCCTCTTGGCAGTTCAGGATGGCCATGTTGCCCTTGCGGGAAGCATACCTGTGAGCGGTTTGAAGTAGACCTCGGGCTCGCGGTAGGGACTTGACGGAACGGACGAAACGTTTGAGATGAGAGCCCTTGCCTTCCATGAAGCAGGGCGAGCCGAGGGCGCCCGTGGGCCGCTGCACGATGGCGGTGGGGTCGCGCCAGCAGCTGGCGCACCATCGCCCAGCGCCGGCGATGCAGACGTTCAGCTCGCGGTACAGTCGGGGCCCTGAAGAAGGAACCCTTTTCGTTGGGGAGGGGCTCCGCGTTCCTTAAGTGTTTCGCAGCTTGCCTCAGGTTTCCCGCAGGTTTTCGACAGGAAATCGAAGGTTAAATTATGGAAAAAAGGGGCCTCGTTCCTTATTTTGGGTTCCTTAGGTCAACGCCCCGACTGTAGGCCGTGTCGCAGAGCAGCGTGCAGGCGGCGCGCCAGCCGGTGATAGTCGTCGCCGCCGCGCGCCACACTGCGGCAGCCCGCAGGGTTTTTCGATGCCGTGCGGGGTCACGACGTTTTGTCCGGAGCGGCAGGGCCTGGAGGTCGGACTTTTGGCGAGGCAGTTCGGGGCGACGCGCGGGAGCCTGCGGACGACGCGCAGCTCCTCCGCGAGGATGGTGCTGGGCGGCTCGGACAGCCGGCCCACGCACGAGGAAGCAGATGACGGCGACCTCGCCGTGGAGCTCGGTGCGCCGCTGCAGCGGCAGCGCGCGAGGCGGCGAGCTTCTCGACGCGGTCTCGCCACTTCGTGGCCTGGCTTCGTGGCTGGCCCGTTCCGCTGGTCGGCCAGCGCGGCGCCAGGGCGGAGGAGGAGGAGGAGAACGACCCTCCGATGAAAGGGGCGAGAAGAGGGCAGGCGGACAAGAGAGGGACGAGACGAAGGCAAGAGTCCATCCAACAGAGTCCGTATCTGGTCAGGCTTCGGCCAGGCTTCGCGTGAGCAGCTCGCGCACTTTGCGGCTGCCCCGCGCGAGAACACGAGCACGGGAGGTCAGGAGACGAGAGGAGGACGTGGAGGAAGAGGAGGAGACGGGAACATCCGCGGGGATGCTAGCGCGGAGCCCGCAGGAACTTGGCTAGCCCGCGCAGGGAGCATCTTCGTGGCGACTCTCACGCCTTCGGCCAGGGAGGCGATCCCGGATGGACGCACCCCCCTGGCTAGGCGGTGGCGGAGCGGTACCGGGCCGAAGTCGATCTAACCAAACCTACCAGACAGCGAAATGCGGAACGAGCAATGTGCTACGTACCGACCTACCGCTCGCGTCGAGTGACGACGACGACGACCACCACCACCACCACCCCACGACGACGACGACGACCTGGACGACGACAACCACGACGACTACAAAGTGACCTCCCCACGACGGGGGAGACCCGAGTTGTCCTCGCTCAACCACGACTACACGGCAAGCCCCTGGCCGGGAGGAGGAGGAAGAGAAGAGGGAGAAGGGGAGGGTTGTTTCCTTCTGAAATTGTTGCTTTTTGGGGGGGACGGGAGGGAGGAGTCGGGGAGGGAGGAGAAGGGGATGGAGGCTCAGGAGGTCGAGGAGGAGCGGCGCGACAGAGCCTCGCGCCCTCGAGGCGGCAGCAGCGGGGACCGCGCGCTGGCAGCGAGGCCGCGCGCGCGCGACCTGCAGCCATCCGCGTGCTGCGCGCTGAGCTGGTCGAGGGGCTTGCCCATCACGTGCTTGCCCGGGACGGTGGTGCAAACCTGCCCAGCGAGGAGCGAGAGAAGAAGCCCTGCGAATTATGAGAAACGCAATTTTCAAACAAACCAAAAAAAACGCACTCAGCGAGCCACAATTGCGTTTCCCATAATTTTTAATCATGGGACACGCACTCCCGGACGACTGCCTGAGAGAGAAGGGGCGTCCGGCAGCGTCTCGCACGCGCAATCTGCACTCTGACCGACTGGCCGACGAAGGATCAGGACGGCGACGGCAACGACGATAGGGGAGTCGACGATGGAGGGGCAGCGGCCAATATCCTGATTCACCCCACCACTGTCCCGCCAATATCGTTCCCCTTCTCTCTGTACAGGTCCACAGAGCTACCCTCCCACCAAAAAATCCAAAAGCCTATTGGAGCCGCAGTGTCTCTCACTTTCTCTCTCTCTATTTCTCTTTTCTTTGTCTCTCTCTTTCTCTATTTCTCTCTCTGTCTCTTTCTCTCCCCCCCTCTTTATGTATACATGTGCATAACTATGTAAGTCTGCATGCCTGCCTAAACGTGTCTCCCTCTCTCTCTCTGTCTCTCTCTCTCTCTCTCTCTCTCTGTCTCTCTCTCTCTCTTTCTCCCGATCTCTCTATCACTCTCTCTCTCTTTCGGTCAAATTCTCTCTCTCTCTCTCTGTCGCTCTCTCTCTCTCTCTCGCTCTCTCTCTCTTTCTCTCTCTCTCTCTCTCGATCTATCTCTCATAAATGCATATGTATGGATAGATGTGTGTATGCATGTGTGCATGTATGTGTGTATGTGTGCATGTGTGTATGTATGTATGTATGTATGTATGTATGTATGTATGCATGCATGCATGTATGTGTGTATGTATGTATGTGTGTACGTATGTGTGTATGTGTGTATGTGTGTATGTATGCAAGTATGTATGTACGTATGTATCGATGTACGTGTGTGAGTATGTACGTATGTATGTATGTATGCTTGTGCGTAAACATGTCTGTGCGTACGTGCGTAGGTATGGTTGTATGCATGTATGGATGTATGTATGTCGGCGTATGTATGTGTAGGTGCGCGGACGTTTGTATGTATGCATGAACAGATGAATGCATATGCATGACTTGATGTGCGTAACATGCATGCATGCATGCATGTAGTATGCGTTGATGTGTGTATGGGTGTGTGCGTGTATGGGTGTATGTATGTATGTATACATGTATGTATGTGTGTATGTGTGTGTGCGTCTGTATGTATGCATGCATGTATGTCTGCGTATGTATGTAATACGTATGAATGTGAATATATATATATATATATATATGTGTGTATACAAAAAATATAACTGTTTGTAGGCATGTGTGTATGCACATGCATGTATAATTAAATGTGTAAGTATGGATATATGTATATATAGCCGCTAATCTTATGGGGCCATCAGGCTGCGGAGTTTAGGCTTGCTGCTCCCTGCTCCAGTTCCCGCTTCAGGTATCCAATGTGTTAGGGTCCTGCTTTCTGCTTCCTACTGTGAGTTGTGTCTAGACCGTGCGAGGAGTGGGGGCCAAGAGGAACTTGTCACATTCCCTCCCAGGGTTCTCGGAATTCCTGGGGAAGCGCTGGGTACCTTAAGATAAATGGGCATCCTTGGCATCGAGGCCACAGTCCCCCGCAAATTGCACAGATTCCGCGCTCTCGAGGCCACCATCCCTCGTAAAGGCACCACGACGGTCGAAGAGGCCTCCAAGACGGCCCCACGAGCGCACCAAGACGCCCAAGGATGGTTCCAAGACGGCCCAAGAGGGCCCCAAGAGGCCCCAAGAGCGCTCCAAGAGCACCCACAAGAGGGAGGTGTTTGCCAATGTTTTCGCATGCTCGCCATTTCGGGCTCCCAACGCTCCAGGACGGCCCAGGAGACTCAAAAGATCGCTCCAAGACGGCCTAAGAAGCGCTGATGAGCGCCCCAAGACGGCCCAAGAGGCCCCCAAAACAGCCTCAAGAGGGCCCAAGAAGGCCCCAAGACTGCCCAAGAGGCTCCCGAAACGGCCCAAGAGGGCCCCAAGACGCCCCCAAGAGGGGCCCAAGAGGGGGCACCCAAACCAATGTTTCGAACCCTCCGCTGCAAGAAGCTCTCAGGAACCCCCAAGAAGCCTCCAAGAGGCCCCTAAGAGGCCCCAAGAAGCACCCAAGAGGCCCCAAGAAGCCCAAAAAAGACTCCAAAACTGCCCCCTGAAGGCCACCTGCCTTCAAGAGGCTTCCCAAACCACTTCAACACATATACAACAAAAGGCCTCAGACCTACAATCCACGCAACGACATGATCAGTAATCGCGCCAACGTCTCCACATGTGTTGCAGATTCCATTCTGTCCTCGAATGATGCCCCCAGATGTCTCAAGACGGGGCAAACGCTCCGAAACAACTCTAAGATGTCTCAATATGATAGAAACGGGCCGGCGGCAGAGGGCGAAGCCCAAGCGGTATAGACACACATGTATATGTATGTGTATATATATATATATGTGTGTGTATGTGTATGTATTGATGTACATATACGTATATATGTGTATGTATGCGTGTATGCATGTATACATGTACGCATACATGCATGTCGGACTGTATGTATGTATGCATGTATACATGTATACAGCATGTATGCATGAATGCATGCTGCATGTATGTATGCACGTATGTATGCATGTATGTATGTATGTATGTATGTATGTATGTATGTATGTAAATATGTATGTATGAATGTATGTATGTATGTATGCATGCATGTATGTATGTATGTATGTGTGTATGTATGTGTGTACGTATGTATGTATGTGTGTATGTGTGTCTGCATGTGTATGGATGTGTGTATGGATGGATGGATGGATGGATAGATGTATAGATGTAGGCACACACACATGCATACATGCATACACACATAAATACAAGCCTACAAACATAAATGCATGAATGCATGCATACATAAATACATACATGCATATACATATATGCATACATACACAAATGGAGAGACCTGTACCATACAAACCGATATGGTAAATAAGTGTACATATGAGTGCCAAACTACCCAATAAAAACCTGTGTTGCTGAGTGACCGCAGACATACATGTGTATACATATATAGATATACGAACTAGAACCATCGCGCGCTTCACGCGCGCTCAGGTTCTAGCCCAGGCCGGGGGCACGCTAGAAGATCTTGGACAGCGCTATCCAGCACAGGCGCGTGACATAGTCGTGCCTCCTGAGGGCCTCTTGGGAACCTCTGGGGTCTTCGTCGGGGCATCTGAAAGGCTTCTGGGCGGTTCTCCGTGCTTCCTCAATTGGCTGTTGGAGGCACCTCTTGGGTGCTTCTCGGGGGGGCATCTTGGGGCTTCTGGGGTCCCTTAGGGGCATCGTCGGGGTTTTCCAGGCAGTCGGAAAGTGATGTTCTGCAGTCTGAAGCAGTTAATTGGCCGTCTTGGCTGCGTGGAGGCCCGGCTTGAGGTCACATTGGGGCAATCCGGAAGCCTCCAGGGGCCTCCTTGAAGCAATTTTGATGCATCGAGAGCACTGTTCGGCTATCTTGGGGCCCCGTGCGCGTCTCCTGTGAGCCTTTTGGGGCCTGGTGGGGGGCTTGGGGGGCCCCGTCGGACCACTTGGGGACTCTTGGGGCCTCCTGTGGGCCTCTTAGGGCGGAAAGCTCTGCTGTTGGGTTCGCGTTCCCCTTCTTGGGGCTCTCTTGGGGCCCTCTTGGGGCCCTCTCGGGCCGTCTGGGGCGCCTCGGGCACCGTCTTGGGGCCCTCGTGGGCCGTCTTGGGAACCTCTTGGAGGCCTCTTCGGCTATCTTGGAGCGGATTTGGGGGCCACTTGGGCCGTCTTGGAGCGTCGGGATGCCAAAAGGCTGGGAACTCTAAAATCCATGAAAAGCCGATGGGAAAACAATGCTTCTTGGAACCTCGTCGGCCTTCTGGGGAATTTCTTGAGGGCCTCTTGGGTCCCATTTGGGGGCCTCTGGGGCTTCCTGAGAGCCTCTCGGGATGGAAGGCTCGGATTTTCGGTTCGTCTTACCCCTCTTGGGCCCCCCTTGGGGCCGTATTGGTGCCCTCTCGGGCTGTCTTCAGCCCTGTTGGAGGCATCTTGGGCTATCTTGGCTTGGTCTTGGAGGCCATTTGGGCCGTCTTGGAGCGTGAGGACGCCAAAAGGCTGAAAACTCTAACATCAATCAAAAACCGATGGCAAGACATGGATGTTTGTCTCTTGGGGTCTTCGTGGGAGGCCTCTTGGATACTCTTCGGCCCCCTGGGGGGCTTCTTGGGGGCCTCTTGGAGCCTGTTAGGGGCTTCTCGGGGCCTCCTGAGAGCCTCTCGGGGTGGAAGACTCGGATTTTCGGTTCGTGTCAACCCTCTTGGCTCCATCTTGGGGCCGTCTTGGGGCCCTCTCGGGCCGCCTTGGGCGCCTCTGGCGCCGTCTTGGGAGCCCCATGGGCTGTCTTGTGACCGTCTTCGAGGTCTCTGGGGATGCCTTGGAGCGGAAATTGAAGCCTCTTGGGCCGTCGTGGAGCGTCAGGAAACTCAAAAGGCGAGAACTGGAAAATCGGTCAAAAACCAAAGGAAAACTAATTAGTTGTGCCTCCTGGGGCTCCTTGGGAGCCATCTTGGAGACCTCTTGGGGCGTCTTGGAGGCCTCTCGGACAGTCAGGGACCAATTCTGGGGTGATCTCGGGCGGTCATTGGTCGTTTTCGTTGTCTGGAAACGCCATTTCTAGCAATCCAGGGCCGTCTTCGGGCGACTTTACAAGGCCCCCAGCGCCACGGCAGGGCCCCCGGGCCCCCCGGTGCGAGGGCCCCGTCCCGGGCCCCGCCTCGTGCCCGCGGCAGGGCGTCCATGGGCCATCTCGGCGCCCTCGTGGGGGCCTGTTGGGGCGACATTGGGAGTCTGAAATCCATCACAAACCTAAGGACAATCAATGATTTTGGCGTCCCTTTGGGCCGTGTTGGAAGCCTTGTGGGCCGTCCGGAGGCCATCTTGGGCGTGTTCGAACGATATGTCCTCGTTTCGGGGCCTCTTGGGGGCCTCTTGCGGTCCTTTTCGTCTGTGTTGGGGCTTTCTTGGGCCGTCTGGGGGCGGCCCTGGGCTGTCTCGGCGCCCTCTTGGAAGCCTGTTTGGAAGATTTCTGGGTTCCTGGACCGTCCTCCTTCAACGTCGGCGGCACTGGCCGTAAGACTTCCTGGGAACATGATTTGTTGGGGTGTCGTTGGGCGCCTCCGGAGGCTTCGGGGCCTGACGCGTTTCCGAGCGTGGCGGCAGGTAGAACTGCTTGGGACTCTCGTTTTTGTTACCCTGGCAGGCGTTTAGGGAACATGGTTTGGGGAGAGGGCGGCAACCCGACAATCATGTTCCCGGGAAGCTTTCCAGGAGCATGATTTGTTCGGCTCTCTTAAGAGGGGTGCCTCTGGGGGCTTACCGAGGGGCTCTTTCTGGCCTTGTCGGCAAGCCTATTGGAAACATGGTTGGGGCGGTGGGCAGAACCCCAAGGAATCATGTTGCCGGAAAGCTCTGGGAAATACGATTTACCGAGGTCTCTTGGGGGCCCGCAGGGGGCTTCCCTGGGGGCCCCTTGGGGACTTATTGGGGCTTCCGGGGGGGCCTGTTGGGAGCCTCACGGAGCTGGGCTTCTTCGGAGCCTCCTGATGGCCTCCGGGGGCGTCTTCGGAGCCTTTCAGGCCGGAGACCTTGAAATGTCGCGCTCTTCGGGCCCTCTTGGGTCGCTCTTGGGGCTCTCTTGGGGCGCTCTCGAGGCCCTCTTGAATTATCTGGGGAGCCTCCTGGGCCGTCTCTGGTCTTTCTTGGGAGCCTCTTCGCCCGTCTTGGAGCGATCTAAAGGGCCTCTGACGCCGTCCGGGACCGTGGGGAGGCGGAACATGCGAGAGCGCAAAAATGCGGGGCCCTTTGGAGGGGCCTCTGGAGGCGCTCTTGGGGCGTTTTGGCGGCGTCGTCGGCCGTCCTGAGGCCATCTTCGGCGTGTCCGGGGCCTCTTGGGACTGTCTGGGTAATCTTTCAGGCCCTTTGGCGTGTCGTGGCGTGTTTGGGAGCGAGCCCGGGCAGTCCCGGGAGCCCTGGGGGCTGTTGAATGCGAGGTGTTGTCTTGGAGGCGGAGGCTGTTGAGTGCAGGGTGGCGCGTGCTACGCAGAAGGCGGGCGAGCGGCCGGGCGGGCGGCGGGCGGGCGGGTGGCGGGCGGGCGGGCGGGTCGGGATTTGAATGAATTCCTTAAAGGTGCTCTCTTGCAGAGGGAGCTTGTTGAGTACAGGGTGTTGCCTTGAAGACGGGGCCTGTTGACGACAGGGTGTTGTCTTGGAGACTGAAGCTGTTGAGTACAGAGTGGTGCGCGCTGCGCGGACGGCGGGCGGGCGGCGGGTGCCCTAGGTGGTGGGTCAGAGGCCTCATAAATGTTGGTTTGGATTCAGTGGTTGGCCTGTCGGGGACGTCGTGCAGGCAGTTTCGCAGCTTCTCGGTAGCCGTTTTAGAACCGTTGTGAGGCCTCCTCGGGGCTGTTTTGTGGCCTCTTGAGGCCTCGTTTGGGCCTCCTGGGTGCCTTTCGGGGGCCTCCTGGGGCCTCTTGGGGGCTCCTTGGGGCCTCCTGGGGCACTCTTCAAGCGGGAGGGTCGAATTTTTGAGTCGTGGTGCCCCTCTTGGGCGCATCTTGGGGCCGTCTTGGGGCTCTCTTGGGCTGTCTTGGGCGCCTCTGGGGCCGTCTGGGGACCCTCTTGGGCCGTCTTGGGGCGCTCTTGGGGGCCTGTTGGGCCATCCTGGAACGTCGGACAGCCGAAAAGGCTGGAAGGCCAAAATCTCTCCAAAACCTTTGTAAAATTTACGATTTGGGCCGCTTGAAGCGCTATGGAGAGGCGTCTTGAAGCGTCGTGGAGTGCCTTGGGGGGGCCTCTCGGGCCGTCTTGGGCCTACCTTGGGCGTCTAGGAGCGGTCTTTCGGCGACTCGGGGCCCACTTGGGCCGTCTGGGGAGCCTCTGGAGGCCCTCCTGAACTATTGTGGACCTCCCCGGCCGCCCCGTCCTCCCATGGGGGGTCGGAGCACCTGTTTGTGGGCCCCGGGCCTGCCCCCAGGGATGTATATATATATATATATATACACATACATATAGATGCATACATACATACATACATACATACATACATGCATACCTACATACATACATACATACATACATACATACATACATACATACATACATACATACATACATACATACATACATACATACATGCATGCATGCATGCATGCATGCATGCATGCACGCATACATGCATACATACATACATGCATACATATATACATACATACATACATACATACATACATACATACATACATACATAAATACATACATACATACATACATACATACATACATACATACATACACACATACATACCTACATACATACATACGTACATGCATGCATGCATACATACATACATACATACATACATACATACATACATGCATACGTACATACATGCATACACATACATACATACATACATGCATACATGCATGCATGCATACATGCATACATGCATACATGCATACATGCATACATGCATACATGCATACATGCATACACATACATACATACATACATACATACATACATACATACATGCATACCTACATATATACATACATACATACATACATACATACATACATATGCCTACATACACATGTATACAACATGCATGCACACACTGTTGTACAAATGAAGGCACCGATGCATACATACATATATATATATACACATACATGCATGCATACATTAATACATACATACATACATACATACATACATACATACATACATACTACACATGGCGGGATCCAGAAACCCTGAACCCCATAGAAAGAGAAAAAGAAATCCTGGCGAAGGACCCAACAATATGCAGCTGTGAGTACCGCGTTGTGGGTACCGCACTCAGTGGAGCTCCCTCTGGGGCCACGATCCTCGTGAGGGGTGTGCCGAGATGGGCGGGGGGAAGCACTTTGCCGCTGGGGCCTTCGGTCGAGCTCCCTATGGGGCCACGATCCTCGTGAGGGGTGTGCCGAAATGGGCGGGGGGGCGCATGCGAACTTGCCACTGGGGCCTTCGGTAAAGCCCCCATGGGGCCACGATCCTCGCGAGGGGTGTGCAGAGATGGGCGGGGGGGCGCATGCGAATTTTGCCACTGGGGCCTTCGGTGAAGCTCCCTACTGGGCCACGACCCTCGTGAGGGGTGTGCCGAAATGGGCGGGGAGACGCATGCGAACTTTGCCACTGGGGCCTTCGGTGAAGCTCCCTACTGGGCCACGAAACGCTGTCCTGGGTGGGTCAAACGCAGGGAGGTGACGAGGCTGATGGGAGGAGGGTGGAGGGGAGGAGGAGGGGGAGGAGGAGGAGGAGAGGAGGAGAGGAGAAGAGGAGACGCGGGGCGCTGTCTCTTCAAAACGAAGACCCAACACCACAGGACAGATGGGAAAAATCTCTGGGGCGCATATGTTATTTCTGCCCGCTTCTGCTGGCCGTCCGCCGGCATTCCACCAGCGTGCGCCGAGAAAGATATGCAAATGCCAAAGATGCTCGAAGGCGAGGCCCGTTCTGGAGCGCCCCATCTGTATGCATGTGTATAAATGTGTATAGGGTAAAAACAGATACATACATGAAACAACATGTATGTATATACACACATACATACATACATACATACATACATATATACATACATACATACATGCATGCATGCATTCATACAGACAGACAGACAGACAGGCAGACATATAGGCATACAGACATACAGACATACATACATACATTCACACATACATATTATGTGTATACATAGAGGTCAAGATGTGTATATCTATATGTATATATATGCATACATACATATCCTTATCTAGATATAAGACACACAACTATGAACATACACATAGATGAATGATTATCTGTCCGTCCACATGTATGTGAATGCCAGCGCCCTGCCTTGCGGCCATCCATGCTGAAGACGCGGTCCGCTGAGACCGTGTGGCCGAAGCGGCCAAGGCTTCCGCTGGCGCCTGGCAGGCGTGGTCTGCCGCTATGGTGACAGAGGATCAGGAGGAGGGTCGCGGAGATAGACAGGAACTGAGGGGTTCCACGATGCGCCTCCTGGGCTGGACGAATGGAGGGGGGGCTGGGAAAATCAGCTGCGTGAGCCTCCCCGTCTCCAATCTGTATCAGTGCCTCCCTGACGGGCACTCGATAGACGGCGGGCATTGATCGATGCAGGAAGCTGGCGTTTTCCTGACACGTTCCTGCGACATCCCGAGTCGCGATTTCGTGCCACCTACTTGCGCGCTGCCGAAGTGCCCGCCATTGGGCACCCGTCCTGGAGGCGCTGACTGCACACTTTCGAGGAGCAGGCCAGAGATTGAGATGCACGTCCGCTGAAACTGCACTGACCGACTTGCACGCCCATCGGGGTGAGGGGGAGCAGCAGAAGGAGGGAGGGAGGGAAGAGGTGAGGATGGGGAACGAGGGAAGAGGGACGAGGGAGAGAAAGAGGAAAGAAGAAGGAGAGAGGAGACACGACAATCAATGAGGGTTGGAGGAGGGACGCCTCTCAACCTCTCCTCCTTTTCCCCCTCCCCCCCTCCTCCTTCTCTTCTGCCCTTTCTGCCCTCATACTCCCTACTCGTCCCTCCCGCCGTCCCCCTATCCGACCGCAGGCGTCATGATTTCTCGCACCGTGGACCTCCAGAACTCCCGACCCCTCCAATGGGGCCCAGCTTTTCGTCATGAGCTGTTTTTGTGGGGGGTCCTGGATCCGGATGAAAACCCCTGGAGCCTGGAATAACTCCGAGCCTCCTTTCGCGACCATTTCCCGACGCGAGGAGGTATAGGTCCTCATCCCCCCGAAAGGTTCTCGGTGGTCTCACGGCCCGGGAACGGCCTCCAAGGGGCCGCAAACGCCGGAAAAAACAGGGCCCCAGTCCTTCATCGCGACTCCTCCCTCCCGTCCTCGGCCCCCCCCCCCCTTCGTCCTGCCCCCCCATCCGCCCCGTGCTTCCCCTCACATACGCACACCACTTTTTGCGTCGGCGGCTGGGCAGAGGTCACTGCTCCGGCGATGTGGCATTAGCGGGGCGCACACCACTCACGCATGTGTTCCATGGTGGTCACCCTGAGAGCAGACTCGCTCCTTCGTGAGGCAGCGGAGCTGGCCTGAAATCCCCCGGGGACCGAACATGGGCGACGAAGGGGCAAAAGAGCCAGAGCGGCGCAACATGTTTGCTCGGCAGCGGCGCGCTCTGCGTAGGTCAATGGCCAGAGCGCGAGCGCGTGCGAATATGCAAGCAGGGAAGACAGAACGGCCGTAAGCTCCCGACGGCCGCGGCGGCAGGAACACTGGCCAAGAGCGGCAAGGACGGGGGACAGAGACGGCACGGGAACTGGCGCCAGACGCGGAGGGTGGAAGGGCGACGACGGGGCGACAGACCCAGAGATCTGACATCTTGTTCCACTCCCCCCGGGACTGGCTTCGCACCCTGAGTCGTACCTTGGCAATCCCAGGGCCCAGCGAGGGCCCCCGGAAGCTGAAAAGCGCCAAAAACAACTTCCGTCCGATTTTCTCGCGACGCGAGCATGCCTGGGGACGGAGCAGAGCGGGCCAACAACACACACGCGCACGCTCTTTGGCGGTCGCGGCTTCGCGCCCAACGTCGAGGCGGAGCAAGTCACCGAACTGACGGGCGCGCGCGTGCGGGGAGCCCGCCAGAGCGTGATGGGCCCGTGTTGGGTCGACCAGCCATCCCAACCCTCGGCATACCCGGGCATGGGCAGCGAGGGCGCAGCAGGCGGAAAGGGCAGAGCCCCGGAAGCAGGGGGCGCAGCCCGACGAGCAAGGAATGACAGGAGGACTGCCGAGGCCGGAACGGCAGCGCCAGCACCCACAAGGAGGGCGGGAGGCGGAGAACGACACGCGCACGCACATGCGCGCGGCCTGCGAGCACCACAAAGCCCGCCGCGAGGGCCGCTGCCACGCCGGCGATGACGCCGGGCCTGGGCCGGGAGCGGCGCCGGGGGCTTGGCAGAGAAAACACGAATAAAGTAGGTGATGATGAGGATGCAGAACGACCACACGATCAGAATCAGTTGCCTTCCCCTGATGCCACAAGACAGAAACCAAATTCCTCTTCTATACTTATGTATGTGACATCCTGCGGCCCCCCCCCCCGACACGGAATCCCCGACGTCTGGGGCAAATGGACGCCCCTCCAGAGTCCCGCGAGATTTCTGGAAGTCCCTGCCAAGCCGCGCACATGGGTCGGCGGCGGTCCCAACAGCGAAAACGGGGAAGAGGAAGAGGAAGAAAAAGAGGACACATGACGGAAGGAGAAGGAACAACATGATGATAACGGAGATGGCGAAAATAGCAACCAAGAGATCGTTGTTTTGACTGATGTACCTCTCCCTCAGCCGGCCTGCACGTTGGACGTGAAGGACGAACGTGTACGGCGCCGAGCGCCAATGCAGACTTGCAAGTATACATACATTTGCGAATGCCATGACAATCGGCACTCGAACAATCCGATCATTGAATGAAAAAGATGGTTTTAAATGTGTAAAACATGTTCTAAACATGTTTCGAACATGTTGTTTACATATTTGAAACATGTTTGAAACATGGTTTAAACATCTGGAAATTGTTTGGCAACATCCTTCCGATCCATTAATCGACTTCCACAAACATGCATACACACACAAGCACATGAAGGGACCAGCCCAGGCCGCATCCATCGGCAGGAAGGAGGAGGAACTTCCATAAACAGCTTGTCTGTAAAAGGTCTTATAAAATCGCCAAACAGCGCTTGCACTTAGGGGGCTGTACTTTTGCCTTCTAAAGAACCGAGCCGTGTCTTCGGTCTGGATGCGGCCGCCGTCGCCGCCCCGTCGCCGCCTCGTCGCCACTCGTCGTCTGGGCCGTGTCTTCGGCGCCCCGTCGCCGCTTAGATTCTCCCTTCTAAGAGGAGGGGGGAAAAAAAAACAACAAAAAAAACAAACAAACAAAAAAAAAAACCTCCCCCCTTGACTCAAGGGGCCCCCAATGTGTATTGTATGAGCCTGCCCCATCGTCCATCCGTAATATGAATGAACTCGTACCATCCCAGGCCGGCCGGTACCGCCTTTCATCCTGTGCAGATTTTTTTAATGCGCGCACAATCGTTTGTCAAGAACGGTCGGTGTTCAAGAACACCTTACAGAAACGGGGCGAACTGCTCGTCGCGCGCAAATGCAGAAGTCCTTCAAAAACCGTAGGCACCGTTTTTTTCAACATGTTCATAACATACTACCTAGCGGCGTTTGGCCTCAAGTGCGCAAAAATCGGCATCGCAAGAAAGCCCTTGCGCGCGTGCTGTCGCACGATTCCTGTGGCAAATAAACTCGAGGTGAAAAAAAAATCAAAAAAACAACTTTTACAAAAAAAAAAAAAAAAAAAAAAAAATGCACACGCGCGCGTCGTCGCGCACGCATGCCGGAATCCTTGAAAAAACGTGGGTGCCGCAAGGATTTCAAAACCGAGTGCCCCGAGAATATATACAACGCATGGCTTTGCAACATTAGCTCTGAAACCCCCAAAAAAACTACGCTCGCGGTCTTGCAAATTCTTACTACTGTCGGCTTTTCACAATTCCATCAAATTTTGCCAAATGGGCCTGCCGCGCCGCATGCCGAAATCATTCGGACGCCTTTGCGCGCGCGCGCTGGAGGGGCCACGATCCGCGTCAAATAAAGCAACGCGGGCCACTCGCGCGTCGGCCGATCGCGCATGACGACCTCCTTCCCGAACCTTCATCACCGACGCGAAGACGCCGTCATCGTCGTCAGCGTGGTCAGCTTCGGCGACGTCACTGGCCGTGCCGTCGTCGTCGTCACCATCGTCACCAGCATCGCAACTAGCATAATCGCTTCTACCGTCGACGACGTTGCCATGATACAGCGCCCGCCCACGTCGCCGACTCGCACTGAAGTGCCCGCTGGGAAGTACCTAACGGTCAGCGCCACCGCGGCCGCATCGGTCGCGCCAAACTAGCTGGCCGCTCTGCGCGCCAGAATGTGCGTTAGCGCGGCCGCGGCGATGCGCCAGCCAGCGCCGAGCAGTCATCGCAATCGCCGCCGCATGGGTTTTGCAAACCAAGTTGCGGGTGGGTGGGCGGGATGATTGCGCGAGCAGTGGAGTTGACAACTGCAAATTCGGCAGGGCCAATTGCACGGCACAGGTTGCACCGGATTGATCGCACCACATTGACTGCACCACGTAGATTGTACCTCTTAGGTTGCACAACATAAACTGTTCCGTAAATAGTGCACAACGAAGATTGCACCACATAGCATGCACAGCATTGACTGCACCGCGTATATTGCACCACAAATATTGCACAACCTGTGTTGCACCACATAGATTTCACCATATATAGATTGGACCACATAGGCTGGACCACATATTGAACCACATATGCTGCCCCACATAGACTGCACAACATAAGATGCGCAACATCGAATGCAAACCATATACAAGTGGCCGACGCCATGCCGCCGACCCCACATACATTGCATCGCATATACTGCACACTGCATATTGCACAACATTGATTTCACCACATGGATTGCACCACATAGACTGCACACCACAAAAATTGCACACCGTAAGTTGCACCACCCTCATTGCATCACACAGATTGAACCACATGCATTGTACCACCTATTGCAAAAGATTGGTTGCAGGCCATAGATTGCACAGAATAGTTTGCACCGAATAGATTGTACCACATACACTGCCCCACACAAAGTGCACACCAGATAGGTGTACATGATAGGACGTACCACGAATGTTGCACAACCTAGGTGCACAACTTAGACTGCGCCGCATAGATTGCACCGCATGTATTGCAACATCTCTTACGCCACACTGATTGCACACAATAGATTGCACAACATGCACCGCTCCACCTTGATTGTTTCAGATAGGTTGCACCGCAACGATCGTATCACATAGGGTGCACAGCATTGGTTGCACACCAAGCAGCGCAAAACCTAGATTTCACCAAGTAGATTGCACCACATACGTTGAACCAAATCTATTGCACAACGTCTACTGTACCTCATAGGTCGCACCACGCGCACTGCACTACATAGGTTGCACAACATTGGTTGCACTGCATAAAGTGCGCAAACTATACTGCTTGCATCACATAGGTTGCCCCGCATAGACTGGACACCATATACGGCTAGAAACGCACTACTTGGGGCACACGCTGGCTAACATGGATATTTACACCTATACACCACAAGCAGTGCATGCACTCAGGAGGGTTCTTACGTACCTTCTAAGGAGCTGAGCCTGCGGGCCGCCCTTGTCGCCATGTGACCACTGCCGCCGCCTCGTCGCCGGTCGCCGCCGCCCGTCGCCTGGGCCTGCGGGCCGCTCGGGCCGCCATGCTGCCGCCGTCGCCGCATCGTCGCCGCCCGCCGCCCCATCGCCCGTCAGTGTTGAATGTGTTCGCATTGCATTGCGTTGCTCTGCGTGTCTTCTCATTGACTTGCACTGCGTTGAATTGCGCTGTATCACTTGGCATTGCGTGACATTGCGTGGCACTGATGCTCGACATCACGGTGCAGTGCTTTACGACACTGTGCACTGCGCTGCTGCTTTGCAATCGCATCCCGTTGCACAACGTGAGGTTGAATTGCATTGGTGTGTAGTGCTATGCCGTGCGTTGCATTGCTCTGCGCCGCTTTGAACTACGTTCATTGCTTGACATTGCGTCGCACTGATCTGCATCGCTGCGCATTGCTGCCCATTGCGTCGCAGTGCTTTGCATTGCTTGGCCTTGCGTTGCGGTGCTGTGCATTGCGTGACAGTGCTTGGCATTGCGTTGCATTGCTCTGCAGTGAGTTGCATTGCGCTGCGCCACGTTACATTGTTCTGCATTGCTCTGCATTGCGCTTTGCATCGCGCTGTTTTACATTGGTGCACATTGAGTTGTCTTGCTTTGCGTTGCGTTGTGGTCTTTCGCAGCGCGTTGCGTGAGCGCATTTACGTTACACAAATGTGCAATCGTAAGTCATTGCACGGGCGTTTATTGATTTGCACTGCGTTGCATTGCTGTGACGCGCATTGCATTGCTGTAAATCGATTTGAAGTGTTTGGCATTGCGTTGCAGAGCTGTGCATCGCGTTGCTTTGATTTGCGTTGCTTTGCATTGCGTTGCATTGTTATGCGTTGATCTATATTTATTTACATTACTTCGTATTGCCTTGCACCACTTTGCGTGGCATTGCATTGCCTTGCATTGCTTGCCAGTACATGACAGTGCTTCGCATTGTGCTGGATTGCTTTGCACTGCATTGCATTACTCTGCATTGCGTTGCGTTACACTGGATTGCAACACATTGGTTTGCATTACGTTATTTGCGTTGCTTCTCACCGCGGTACATTAGTTTGCAGTGGTTGACATTGTTTTGCCAAGCTTTACATTGCGTTGCGTTGCAGTGCGTTGCGTTGCTTGGCATTGGTTTGCACTGCTTCTAATTGCTTGACATTGCGTTGCAGTGTTTTGCATTGCCTTGCACTGCTTGGCATTGCTGCGAGCTGATGTGCATAGCATAGCACAGAAAGGAGGGGAGATGAAGGAGGACGAGGGGGATGATGATGATTGGCCCTGCTTACCACAGCACTTACGTAAACCACAGCACGCCCCCAGCAGCACGACAAACAGAACTTGCACTGAGGAGTTCTCACTTCTTTCGCCAAACAGTATTTGCACGAAGGGGTTCTTTCACCGACCAGTGCTTGTACCTGGGGTTTTTACTTCTCCTCTGAGCGACTGGGCCTGCGGGCCGCTCTGGCCGCCATGTAGCCGCCGCCGCCGCCACGCCGCCGCCCGTCGCCGCACGTCGCGGGCCGCTCTGGCCACCGTGTCGCCGCCCGTCGCCGCCTCGTCGCCGCCCGTCGCCTCGTCCCCGCCCGCTTTGCATTGCTTTGCACTGCTTTGCAGTGTTTGCATTGCTTTGCATTGATTTGCATTGTTTTGCACTGTTTTGCATTTGTTCGCATTGCTCTGCATGACGTTGCTGCGCGCATTGCTTTGCAAGGAACTGCATTGCTCTGCAGCACAACGATTGCACCACATGGATTGCACCAACGAGGTTGCACCACATTGATTGCACCGCACAACTAGGTTCTAAGAAACTGCTGTTTGGGGTCCAGGCTGGCCAACATGTGTATTTCTCTATTCTTAACGCCTGGAGACGGAGCCCGGGCACCCGAAATCGGGGGTCCGTGGCCCGCCATCGTGGCCCTCCCCCGAGGTCTGGGGCTCGTTGCCCCCCACCGTTGCTCCCCATCGTTGCCCCTCAGCGTTGCCCCCCATCGTTACCTCCCGTTGCCCCCAATCGTTGCCCCCCATCGCTGCTTCTGTAAAGCTGTTTTGGGGCCTCTGCCGCATGTGTGTCACCGCAAGCCTCGTCAAGCATACAGTATGTACAAGCGGTAAGAATTCTTGCTATCAGAAATCGAGGGGCACATACTTCGCCGACTCTGAGCTCCGTAAGATGCCCCAGGGCTTTGCGCGCCCAAAGAGAAGTAAGAAGGTATCATGGTGCATCCGTTGGCAAGCCAATTTCGCATGTGGTGTGCCTGCTCTACAGAGAAACCCTTTGCAGTCGGTAGTTGTAGGGACAGCGCTGCTCCAATGCTGGTCGAAGATCCTTAGCTTGCGCACTGGGGCGCCCGAAATTCGAAACCCACCTCGGCATTGAGAAACGCGCGTTGCGGCACAAGGCTTCGGGCACGCGCAGAGGGAACGACCAGGAAAACGCTTCTCGGGACACGCTGCAGCCTCGAGCAGCCTGCTGCGAGGATGCCTGCGCGGGAGCCTTGGAGAGGAGCTGGCGTAGCACTGCCTGCCGGCTTCTAATGTAACAACCCTCTTCAGGAGGGAAAGAAAAACAGACACTATTAATCGTCGATCCCCAAGAAAATATAAGAAAATATGGGAATTGGGCGGGATGACAAAAACCCAGAAAATATAAGAAAATATTAGGAATCTTTTTATTTGTGTGTATTTATGTGTGTGTCCTTGGGCCCCTTGACCTCCTGGCTCTCCGAGGAACTCTCCCCGGGGAAGATCGAATCCTGTAAACTCATGTGAGCTTACGGACCTGCTCGACAAGGCCTGCAACACTCTGGGTTGGCCTCGCGCGCGCCCGCAAACGAGCACGGGGCCCGGGAGGAGAAAAGGGCTACTGGAGACGGCGGCGACGACGACGACGACGACGACGACGAAGGCGACGACGACGACGACGAAGGCGACGACGACAACGACGGCGACGACGACGACGACGAC